GAGAGAGAGAGAGAGAACCGATTGATGTTCTCGGTTGAAATACTGATGCCAAGCTCTCTGCTCTGTAAACCTGAACTCTTCTATTGTATCTTCCCCCCAAATTACATTTGGTCATTAGTCCTCTTTCTCTCTCTCTCTCTCTCTCATCCACCTGTTTCACAATGGAGAGGGACTTCTAGATTTGAAATCTATCTGCGTCAGTTTAATCAGGCAGGTCTCTCCAATTGCTCGTTTTAGTCTCTCTTACTCTTAACTATAATGTGGGTATTTTTGGGGCCTCTCTCTGATGAGTGGACTGTAACAGTTCTAGAAGTGCCAGATTTTCTCACAGTTATACTTTCATTGAAGAGGGGAACTCTAGATATGTTTAGCGGATCAGTGTACATTGTTTTGAGTCAAGCTAGTCCAAGATATTTCATGGATATTATTCAGCTCACTGCTTATCTTTTTGAACAGATTATTCTACAGACAAGAGATTTTGTCTGTAGAATCGAATTTTATGGTCTTTGCATTCAGAGATAATAAAATGTATGTTTGAGTTTATGGTTAAATAGATGTTGAATGTTGTTGAAATCAGAACCCCCTCCCCTTTTTATGGTAAATAATTGAAAATTATCTTCCTTATTGGAAAGCTCTTGATTTCATTTTTGGCCCTTTGCACTCGAAGATGGAACTGGGAACTTCTTTATTTTCTCTCTCTTTTTTTTTTATAACTGAGTACCAACTTCATTTAATTCTTATTGTCTCTGCTAACAAGGGAGGATCCATTCTTTTATTGTTTCCTTGAAATCAAAATATTTATCGATTTTCATCTAACTTTATGTTGGGTTATTACCATTGTTGTGTATTTAACTCAGACGATTTAAAATTTTTTAATTTGTTGTAGGAAAAAGATGGGGGTGGAGTTGATCCAGAGGGTCATCATGGAAAACCTCTCTCTGGTGGTATGTTTTACTTATACTTCAAGCATGAAGCAGCAATCCTGTCTTTGCTAGCATGGCTCAAGGCACCTTTTACTCTCTTTACATCTTATTGTTGTTTTTAATTTTCTTTTTTTTTTTTTTCAACAGTTCCTATACGTGCTGTTGACAAGTTGGGGGGTAGTGTGCTTGATAAATCCAAGTGGACGAGCAAGTAGGCACTCTAATATTTGTATTGATTTTTTCTTTTTCATTGCTATTGATTATGTAGAATGTGATGTTTTGTTGTCAAAGTTACGTTTTTTGTTACTTTTTTCGTTACATGTTTAGTTAGTCGGACTATGTTCTTATTGATGTCTTTGATTGGCACAGGTCGCTTGTGACAATTGCCTTGACATTGCTTACTAGCTCACAGGCAATACTTATTGCATGGTTAAGGAGAGCAGGAAAGTATGATTATAGTGTAACAACTGCAAATTTTTTGGTTAGTATAAAATAACCTTGTCATCATCATTATCATCATCGTCATCACCATCTATGCTTCTATCTCTTTCTCTCTTACTTTTATAAACTGTATTTGTAGGGCCAGACAATATGCCTACATACATTACATGCACATTTTCCTAAAACTTAATAATGCACTGAGAAATATGCACTGCAATACAATCACTAAACCTAAACATTATGAAGCTAGGAACCAGTCATAGAAATTTAAGATTTTATTACTGATTTGCACCTCTATTTTTTGAAAAGAAATAATTTTTATTTGCGAAAAGTTTAGCCTGCTTTCTAGTTTCAATGCGGACATGGTGAGGGGAGATGTCTGTTATTTCACCTCCATGATTTGACAAGTCTTTATAGGGATGGCAAAACTAGCTACCCCAAAATCTTTCCATGGACAACTAATTCTCTGAGTCCCCATTTCCCTGATCCCTTCTACATTGTATACTCCATGGTTTTAAATCCTCTAAAGGGATTCAATCATGTGTCATCTTCAATATGCAGACTACACTTAGGTCTTTTGTGATGCAACCTTGTCCTAAGTCGACAACCTGTGATCATTCCTCGGATTGTTTGAGCTGTGTACGGGCTTTAAGGTAAATATGGCAAAAACAAAGCTTTATGGTATATGTCTGTCCCTAGAGCACACTTCAATGATGGCACATACTCGCTGCGGCATAGACGTCATACTAAGAAAAAACTTGGGACTCCCACTCTGCGTAGGGAAGCCTCACAATATCCTATGGGGTCCCATTGTAGAGTGCTTTGAAAGAAAACTGGTGGCATGGAATGCGGTTGTGATTGGATGGCAGAATTACCATCATTATGGCTACTTTTGCCTGTCTTTCAAAAGGTGTTATTTAGAGTGCCTATCTCGATTGTCAACTGCCTAGAGTCTCTCATGTGTAGCTTCGTTTGGTCTGGGACCGGTGGCTCCCATAAGTTCCACCTAATGAAGTGGTGGGAGATAGTATGCTTATCATAAAAGAATGGTGGGCTGGGACTTCGGAAACTCAGAACCTGTAGTATTTCCCTCTTTGGTCAATGGTGGTGGAGGTTAGCAAATGAAAATGAAGCCCTTTGGCAGCAGTTTCTCTTTCACAAATATGGAAAGGGCAATTTGGGATACTGCCAAAATGCACAGCCACTACTGCTGCCTCCGGGGCCGCAAGGGCTGTGGTCTTGGCTTATCGGGACTTCATATGTAATTATCAATTTGGGTTCAAGTCGGGGGAGAGGATCAAGATATGGACAGACCTGTGGATTGGGGAATCAACCTTCGTGTCCTGCTTTCTGAGGCTCATCTCAGTTGCCAGCACCAAGATGATCTGTTTTCTCAGTCCTCGGAGTTTACTGCAGGCTGCATAATCTGGTCCCTAAGGCTCATACATTACCTCTTGGACCTCACAGGCTTGTTGGATCTTCTTTTGGTCCATTACGTTCTGGGACAAGGCTGCACCAAATGATCAGGACCCTGGCAGCATCAGGTTGCTTCACAGCGTCCTCATTCTATAGGATGTGTGTCAAACCTCCACCAACTACCCCAAGATCCAGGCTGTTACTGTCTCCAAGAAAATCCAAAATTTCTGACGGGGAACCACTTGCAGTGGGGGCTTTAGTTCCCAAATAGATTTGTAACGTGTTTGAAGTTGAGAAGTCAATAGATATCTCCTCCTCCACTACCAAATTAGCCATAAGATCTAGATGACCATATTACAATGTTTTGAATGGACCTGGATGTGTCTGAGTCAATTGACTTCATGTTCATGGTCTGTTTCTAGCCCCCATACATTGCCGTGGGGCTTCTCCCATGGAGAACCATGTTCTTCGCAAGCCTATGGGCTCTCTGCCTTGAGCACGATGTGGGGATGTTCCAGGGCAATGCTAGGACCTTAGATAGTAGATAGGACTGTATCTTGGCTCTGATCATTTTCTAGACTCGGATGCTCAATGATTTTCAGGCATGGTTCGCCAGGGATGTTTTGTATTACTGGAAAAACATTCTACAGTCCAGTCCCCAGGTGCAGGCAAGATCAAGCTTGTGGATCCTACCTCCAGGTGGCCACCATAAAGTTGAGCTTCAATTGCTGCTCCCTGGGTAGCCCAGTACCAGCAAGTGTCAAGTTTTATATTTAGGAATTGCTCGGGCAACCGGGTGTTGACCTAATCTGGGCCGATAGTTGTGAGCAACTCTATGATGGCTGAAGCCCAATCCCTGATGTCAGGTCTAAAACTGATTGATGCATCATGGGGCCCCAACCTTATCATGGGGGGTGAATTACAAAATGTGATTGTGTGGGCTTCCATGGGGGCCTTCTGCCCATAGAGTTTGGACCCCATTTTACAAGTGGTTTTCAAACACTAATGGAGAGTGGCAATGTGGTTGCTGTGCAACAGAATCTCATTGTGGCTTCTCCAAATCACTGAAAACGTTGACCTATGTTTCAACCCCCCCCCTCCTTTCTTTCTCTTTACCCTCTCCAGCACTTGCCAATCTCTCTTTAACTCCTCCTATCTGTCCCTGCCCTATCTTCCATTTAACCTCAACAAAGTATGAACTGTGAAAACCCCTTGCGGCAGCCATGGTTTGAGCCCCAAGCAGATCTTGTACTTTGTACCTTATATTTTTACAATGATGTCAACTTGTCTTCAATAAAAAAAATGTAAAGACAGGGTTACGAGAACAATGAATGTTATCTGTAATTTGTGTAACTATACACATCTGACATTTATTGAGTGTCATTCTGAGCTATAACACGGTGGCATTCTTCTCTCAAAATGGGATCATTTTGTATGCATTAATAATTTTTTTGGACGTGTTTAAGTAGTTTCCCCAACTAAAATGTTGCGAAGAACCAGAACTATCATATCATCATCATCATCACAGCTTTTTTCCAACTAGTTAAGGTTAGCTAGAACTATCATATGTACTCTGTAATTCATGAAAATATAGAGAATTTTGAAATGAATTTTTCTTATTCCGTTTTTTTTTTTGGATCGGTAACAAACGTATGGATAATGTTTCAGGGTTTTTTTTCATGGCTATTCTCTTATCACGATTTGCACGAATCTGAATCATGCCCTCAGGTGCTCTCTCTCTCTCTCTCTCTCTCTAC